GGTCATAGCCTTTCTCTGCATGTCAGAGTGAAGGTTTTGTTGACTCAAGTAAGCTAAGGATTTATGATCAGTTTGTATGCAGAATTCACCCCTTTCTAGGTAATGCCTCCACTTGTCTACTGCCATGATCAATGCTAGAAATTCTTTTTCATAAATGGACAATCCTTTGTGTTTTTCTCCAAGTGCTTTACTCAAATAAGCAACAGGTTGCCCTTTTTGCATCAGTACTGCACCAATACCATCAGCACAAGCATCAGTTTCTATTGTAAAGGTCTCATTGAAATTTGGCAGAGCTAATACTGGTGTGTGAGTCATTGCTGTTTTTAGTGCCTCAAATGCTGCCTGAGCATGCTGGTTCTAAACAAATGTCTTGAGTCTGAGTATTTGTGTAAGAGGTTTGGACAGTCTGCCATAATTTTTAACAATTTTTTGTAATATCCTGTGAGGCCTAAGAATGCCCTGATTTCAGTCATTGTCTGTGGGACAGGCCATTTGAGCATATCAGTGATCTTGCTGGGATCAGTTGAGACTCCTTGGGCTCCTATAATATGCCCTAAATATTCCAGACTGTCCTTGGCAAAAGTGCATTTGGATTCCTTGAGATACAATTGGTGCTTTCTCAAAGTTGCAAAGACTTGCTCAAGATGGTCCACATGAGCTTCCATGGAGGGACTGAAGATGAGGATGTCATCTAAGAAAACTAGAACAAATTTTCTCAAGAATGGTTTAAGGATTTCATTCATGATGCACTGAAATGTTTCTGGTGCATTTGTTAATCCAAAAGGCATAACTTTGAATTGGTAGTGCCCTTGATAGGTTTTAAATGTTGTTTTGAATTCATCCTCTGGCAGCATCCTGATCTGATGATAGCTAGCCTTCATATCTAGTTTAGTGAATACCTTGGCTCCTGCAAGCTCATCTAAGATTTCTTCAATGATTGGCATTGGGAATCTGTTTTTGATTGTCATGTCATTGAGTCTTCTGTAGTCGACACAGAATCTCCAAGTACCATCCTTTTTCTTAACTAGGAGAACAAGGGAAGCAAAAGGGCTATGACTTTGTGTAATCAGGCCAACTTGTAATAGTTGCTGCACTTGGTTTTCAATCTCTGTCTTGTGTAGTGGAGAGTAATGATAGGGTTTGGCATTGATTGGTGTGGAGCCAGGCAGTAATGAGATGGCATGATCATAGGCCCTTCTAGGTGGGAGGCACTGTGGACCAGTGAGGATATCCTTGTACAATGCCAATAGGTGTTGTAAAGCCTCTGGGTGGGCTTGCTATTTCTGAGTGATGTGGTCAGCTTTGTGGGCCTCTTGATGAACCACAACAAAAGTCCATATGTCATTGCCTTTGGATGCATTGTACAGTTGAGTAGCTGACATTGATGACAACTGCAAGTCAGGTTCCCTGATGCCTTGCAAAGTTATAGACTTGCCTTGTTCAGTAAATTTCATTGTTTTGAGTTGCCAATCGAATTCCAGAGGGCTATGTGACTTGAGCCAGTCACACCCCAGTATAACATCATATGGTTGCATATCCAAGACCACCATATCTATTCTGAAGCTTTGTCCTTGACAATAGCATTGCAAATTGGGAACTAGCTGATTAGTAACCATGTCGGCACCATTGGAAAGTTTCACTTGCCTTGGAGGGATAGGAATAGTATGAAGATTAGCCATCTGGACAAATTGAGTACTTATGAAGCTATGAGTGCTCCCACTATCAATCATAATGAGCATTGTCTTATCTTTGACTCTAGTCCTGAGTTTGATGCAATCTGCTTTGTCCCTTGTAGAAATAGCATTCAAGGACAATTGGCAAAATTCCTCATGCAGTGCATCTTCTGCTGCCAAGTCATTGAGAACCTCATCAGTGAGCTCTCTGTCCAGATCATTGATGGCTAAAGCATTGAGCTTGGGCTTGTTTCTTTTGGTACAGACCTCTAGATGGCCAAGTATAAATTTCTCACCACAATGAAAGCATAAGCCATTGGCTTTTCTATAATCCCTCAACTATCTATCATTCCATAGGTTAGAGGTTTGTGTTTTGGTGTCCGGTCTGTTGTAGTGAGGTGTTCTTGCTTGATATGGAGCTCTTGTGTATTTGGTCTTCCATCTGTCTATTACTTTCTGCTGTACTTTTGCCAATGTTGAGGCTTTGAGCACTGTAGTAGGCATTTGAGCCTCTACCATTCCCCTAATTTCTTCTTTGAGCCCTTTGACATAATGTTGGGTGAAAAACATTTCATCATAATTGGCATTATGCATTGTGACTGCATACTGTAGAGCCTGGAATTGAATGGTGTAATCTTCCACTAGCCCTGTCTGCTTGATTTCTAGTAAGTCAGTCATGGAGGATCTGAAGTCATCTGAGCCAAACTCTTGCCGAATGACATGGCAGAAATGTGTCCAACTTTTGAAGGTGTTCTTCTGTTTGAAGGCCTGATACCACCGAGCAACATTTCCTTTCAAGTGTACTCTTGCAGCAGTGATCCACATACCTTCAGGGATCTGATAGAGATCAAAATAGTCCCTGCAGTTGTCCAACCAAACCTTTGGGTCAGAGCCATCAAAATCAGGGAAATCCATTTTAAGCATAGCTTGCTTGGGTAATCTTTGCTCTCTGTATTTTGCTGCACCCTTGTTATCATCCTGAGCTAAATAGTGGTGATTAGTCTTGATTTGTTTATATGGTTCAGCGTTTTCCTTCTTGTTATCCCCAACAAACACATTGTGAAAGGAGACATTGTCCTCAAAGTCTAATGCTGCACTTCCCTCTTCATCAAATGTTGGGCCTGCATCCTGCTGTTGTTTTGCAGTGACCTGTGCCTCTTGTTCCATCTGCCTGATAGTAATTCTAGCAATAGCTTCCCCATTATGCTGAACTTGCTGAGCAATGTTATGCTGTTCCTGGGCATATTCATCCATCGCTGCAGACCTTAGGTCCATCTGGGCCTTCATTTGTTTCTGAGTGGTATGCATCTCATTAATTTGACTGAACATAACGTCGAGATTCTTTTGCAACTGCTCCCACCTGGAATTCTCTTCCTCAGATCTACGCGTCATAGCTTCAAGCGTAAGTCTTGTGCGTGGGGATGGAGCAGATCACGCTTCCTTCTTCGGAGCAGGTGTGCAAAGACGAGGTTTGGTGCAAGACCTCCTGTTGCATTGTCACTCTTTGTACACTTCAAATACTACTTGAGGAATGAGGCAAAGCTGAGGGATTTTACACTAAGACAAGTGGAGTGCAAGCACAAGAACACCAGCCCAGCAACCCAAGCTCTTGGACACTCCCTCTCCTTACACCATCGCACCAAAATCTCCCGCGTGACTCTAGGAATTTTACACGTGAACAACTGTCGCACAACCCTCGTCGACGGTCGATCTGTGCCAGAATGAGATAACAAGCGAGCGAATTTTGGTTGTGCTCACTTCGGTTCACGCCGTCGAACCCTCTTGTCGATGCAGAACCCCAATCGAGCACCTGGCGGGCGTCCGATGTAGCTGCGCCTCCGGTGTCGTCTTGCTTGTCTTTGAAGGTGGTGAAGCCGGTGCTGACGCGGTCGTGAGGATCCGCGACAAGCTGGAGTGGTGGTGGTGGTGGAGGAGGTGGTTTTGGTCGACGCGGTCTTTGGATCCATGACGAGCCGATAATCGACGGCGAGGTTGAGCGAGCGCCATGATTTCACACGCCGAGGATGAATGGCTCTGAATACCAACTGTCAGCCCTTGGCAGCGGCGGGTCACCGCAACGTGAGCACGACAACGGATTCGACCGGAGAACCCTGACGCCGGCGAGGTTGCCCCTCTGCCTTGGCGTGCTATTTGGTATTTGATAATTCGTCCCCGTCTTACAGAGTCACGGACACTTAAGTGCCATACAGTTTCTGGCCTGTGGACCCACAATGTCATACAAGAATGAAAAACGTAAACGGCTAAATGCGTTTGCTTCCTGATGATGATGACTTTGCAGCTCACTCGCTCGATGGTGCCGGTGCACTTGGTCGACACCGAGGCGGCGACGCTTCGTCGTATGGGGGGCCAGCGTCGGTGCCGGGCCTCATAAAGTGCGGCACAGGCTTAAGGTTAAGCTAAGCAATGCAATGGCGGGAGGCGGCGGAGGCGGAGAAGCAACGCGCGGCGAGGGAATGGTCGGGTCGGTGACGGGAAAGACCGAAGGCGGGAAGACAGGGCGAGCGACGGTGTTGTAGCGAGATGGAGGGAGTGGGCCGAACAGTTGAGCTAACGAATGGGCCAGACGAAAAAAGCCTAGACGAAAAAAGAGGCTGAAATTTTGCTTTTTATTATTAGAGATAAAAAAAACTCGATATAATTTACATGACAACACATGCCATAACGCTGTAGGAACTTAATGGCATAGCAATCATTCTTAACCCACTAGCGTTGGCCTTGTCATCACTATTGCTGACGATGTCATGGCCTTTGATGTGGATGAAGCCATGGGTTAGGGATAATGAGTTGATGATTCTGACATGATATCACATTAGCTTGAAAGTGGAGGGAGAGAGTATGGAGATGGAATTAGAGAAAAGCTAAAGCATGGAGATGGAACATTAGAGACGAACATGTGAATTGGCTGGAGCTCATTTGGACCTAGATTAATGAAAATTTTAGAACCTTAAAAATAAAATTTTGAAAGTTCTACACTAAGAAATGTAACCGCTCCTACATTTTACTCTGTAATTTAAGCCAAACAAAAGGCACGAAAACAAACAAAAAGCGTGTGCCTCCGCCGCGGAGTCAAGAATACCCTTCGAGTCGCGGTAGCATTTTTGTTTGGTAACGGTATTCAACGTTCCCCGAGCGGGGAAGGAAAGCCACAAGACGGCACAGGTGCGCCATAGTGCCAGCAGCCCAGCTCTGCCCCAGCACCTCCCGCCGTCCCGCGTTATCCCGAATCCAAACCCCTCCCTCCCTGGCTCCCTCTCTCGGCATCCGATCCCCCCCCCACTAGGGTTTATCTCCAGCGAGGCCGCGCCAATGGCGCTCGCGCGCCCGTCCTCCGCGCTCCTCTCCTGCTCCTCCTCCGCCTGCCTCCGCCGCCTCAACCCACTCCTCCTCTCCGCCGCCGCCGCCTGCCGCCGCCCGGCGTGGGCCCCGCGCCGCGCCGCTCGCAGGTTCTGCGCAGGTAGCGGCTGCTGGCTCGTCTAGCTTGTTAGTAATTAATTCTGTGCCGAGAATGGCTCGTCAGCTAACTGGATTGCTTGGGTCTGCTCCGCTCCGTTGCAGCGATTGCCTCAGAGACGGATGTGTTCACCTCCCCGGAGGTCGCAAAGTCGTTCGACTTCGCCAACGAGGAGCGGATTTACAAGTGGTAAGTCCGCGTGCCTCTGAGCAATTTTTGCTCGCTCTTTCGTTTTTGGATTCGTTTATGAGCACCCGTACAGATCCTCTCACCATGTTGTTTTAGCAGTTACCCTTCAATTTTGAAAGTGGATCAATGTGTACTTATATCGCTTGTTAGTGGTTTGGACAGACAATTTGGGTGCTCGCTTGTCCATTTCTTATTGTGGCCCCATGAGCTGTGGTAGAGAGGGAAGTTAGTAGGCATATGGATTTCATTGAAGTCCTCATGTCGCAGTGCATTGCCAGTTGTTCCCAGCTTTCAGCATAGAGGGCTAGAGGCATTCGATTTTTTTCATATTTGTGAATTGGCAATGCATCTTCTTAGTTAACCAGCATTGGTACACTGATAGCTAATAGCTTGCATGGGAGCATTATATTCTTGAACCTAATTTCTGCTGCACTGATGTTAGTTGGTGCTTTGGAGACATGTAGCTTAGGATAGCCAAAAAAATTAATCAATATACTTTTGATGGAAGCATAACCTGTTTTTTCTTTAGAAGGAAAAGGAAATAGTATTTGAACATTGCTCCACAAACATTTATGATTTTGATGTTTGCTAGTTGCCTATACTTCTTCAGTCAAGTATGAGTTCATGGTGTAACACATTACAGTTGTTTATGTGCTTCAACAAACTTTCCTTATACATGATGTTCTATTAGGTGGGAATCTCAAGGATTCTTTAAGCCTAACTTTGACCGTGGAGGAGATCCATTTGTCATCCCGATGCCACCACCAAATGTTACCGGATCACTACATATGGGCCATGCTATGTTTGTCACCCTTGAGGTTGGATAATTAAATTATAATGCTATTGTACTCATTCTGTTGACTAAATATAATCTGATTTGGCTTAACAATTCATCTTAAGACTAGCAACATATCACCTTATCAGCAGATCACTCATTTGTTACACCTTTGATATACTCCAGCTTTCGCTGTTTCTCCACTTTCCTTTAAGGTGTAAGCTATAAGGCTAACATATGAACCTACTGATGTTTTACCTTTGTTCCCTTTATTACCTCCTCTCACCTGTGTGTACTCACTAACTATTCTGATATTCCCCCTCATGCTTTCCAAGGTATTAAATAGGGGTAGCTTGGTCATTTTCTTCTTTCGTACTCTTTATTTCATACCCCTCCTTAATTCTTGTGCCCACACCTTACTATTCTTGTAATTTCAAATGGGGGGATTCTACTAAGATGAGCATATATGTATGCTCATTTGGGGTGAATCTGTTGCTATCTTCAACTGCTCTGCAAACTGATTTCTTTCAATGGACTATGAAATGAGTTACAGATACTATATAATAAGAAAGTGAACACTAGTCAATATTAGCTTTATTAAGCGTTAGCGATTTATGAACTCTGTTTAATGCTAATCTCTACAAGTGCTGTCAACTGTCATATAATAGTCAACCTGTTTAAGTTCATTGATTTACTTTAGAATCCTATATAATCTGTGTATAAAAATATCCTTGTAGCATCATGTACTATGCAAACTGATAAACCTCAATTTTGCTTCCTTCCATTTTTGTTTGGCTCTATGCCATTTTTCTTACTAAAAGAATCTGCATTTCTTTAAGTGACTCAGGATATAATGGTTAGATATTTCCGAATGAAAGGAAGACCTGCACTCTGGATACCTGGCACTGATCATGCTGGGATTGCGACTCAGGTCTGTTGATCTTGTCGCATGTTTGATAGAAACTCAATTTGCGTTCAATGAATATTTGTATATTTTCCCTTTTAACCTTTTTGCATTTATGTTTCAGTTGGTTGTGGAAAAGATGCTGGCCGCTGAAGGTGTCAAGAGGACAGATATGACACGAGAGGAGTTCACCAAAAAAGTTTGGGAGTGGAAAGAGAAGTAAGTCTTTTTTCTTTTAATCTAGACCAATTTGTGACTTCTTTATTATGCAACATAAAACTACTGGCGCTGCTGATCTGGAGCAACCCTTACCTTCAGTTACTTCTGGTTGTTTACTCATCTCTCTCTCTCTGTCTCTCTCTCTCTCTCTCTCTACCTCTCAAGTCACAAATTATGTTGGGTTTCTTAAAATAATACATAACATCAGGATTTCCAATTATTCCGTTTTAGATCAATTAACAGCTATTTTTTTAATTATTTTTAGACCAATTATTAGGATTGTTTCATTAGTTTCGTAAGAACTTTCATGGATAAGGGCTTTGACTCTTTTTAAAGATGGATTGTCTACAAAACCAATGTGTTCTCATTCTAAAAACTGTTTTCCTTTCAGATATGGGGGCACTATCACTAATCAGATTAGGCGACTGGGTGCATCTTGTGATTGGAGTCGTGAACGTTTCACTCTTGATGAACAATTGAGCCGTAAGTGTTGTTGGTGGTGCTGTTTGTATTTAGTTCTTCTCCATATTAATGTGTTATTAAGTTTGCTGAAAGCTACTAGCTTGTTTCCTGATTTAAAGGATTTCATATCTATAGTTGTTTGTTGCCTATCTTCTACTGAAATAAAAAATTATCATAGTGATGAGGCAACTGGTTGCATGATGCATCCATTGTGTTGTTGTGTTACTTGCATATAGTCAGGACCATGATGGTGTGGGGTATTCCTTTACTCCCTACCATGCCTTTTCTTCTTTCTTTCATGAATGGGAATAAAGTACTATGACCTTCTTTTCTATCGTCTAGATCTGAAGTTTCCTTGTGTGATTATGGACATTGGGCACTGGTAGACTTTCGCAGTGTTCTAAAAGAAGCTTTACTATGTTATACACAAGGAACAAGTGCTTCCGCATGTAACTGTTTGATTGCTATTCAGGCTGCATAGTGGGGCTGGTTAGGCTGTATAATCAGTTAATCATTACCAAGTGGATGACCAAATGAATGCTGATCATCGATTTGTTGGACCTTGCTTTGACCTAGATTTTGCAGAAGAAGCATTGATAGGCTTTATTGTCATTGTATGATTTAAAGACTACAGTGTTGGTAGGTTGAGTGTTGGACCAAAATGTTAGAGTATTTATTTCCTAACTGTATCCTCTATCAATTACTCTGTAGCGGTTGCCTCTTGGGTTTCTATCCAGTGTGCTGCCTAGGGACTCCCGGCATGTTGCCTGGGACTTCTCCCATCTTAACTCTCTAGCTTAGCTTCTCTCTATATATATGTAACCCTCTTGTAATCTCAACATCAAGTAATCTAAGCCTCTTGGCCTTTCTCTATCATGGTATCAGAGCAACGATTCCTCTGCTTCCTCTGCTTTCGCTCCTTTCGGCGCCCGCCTTGAGCCGCGCCCGCCCCTTCACCTCTCGCTCACGCGCGCCTCGGGTCGCGCCCGCCCCGCGCGCCCTTCCCTGCCGCCACAACCCGAGACCTTTCCTTGTTGCGTGCGTGTGCCTTGCCTTGACCAGCGCGCGCCATGGCCACGCCGACCTTGGCGCCTCCCCCATGGCTCTCGCGATCAAGCTTCGTGATGAAGCTCTCGCCCGCCTCGTGACTCCACCAACACCGACCGTGGCCGGCGGCTTGAGACGGAGGTCGACCTCCTCAAGTCGCTGCTTGCCGATCAGATCGCGTTCGTCTTGCCGTTAGCGCCCTCGAAGGAGCGCGTGAGTTAACGCTCGAACAAAGAAAGCCGCGCCCCCGGGACCGTCTCCGCACGGACTCCCTCCACGACGACGGCTCTCAGGATGGCGACGATCACTCCTCCTCCGACGCCGCGACCATCGCTCACCTACACAGCCAGGCTGCCACTGTCCAGAACATCAAGAACTTGATTCCGATCGTTATGGACCTCCAGTCCTCCAACTATTCCAGGTGGCGCGGCTACGTCCTCCTCATCCTCGGCCGCTTCGCGTTGAAGGATCACATCCTCAGTGACGCCTCCCACTTCACCGATCCTGCGTGGTCCCGCATGGACTGCGTGGTCGTCTTCTGGATCTTTAACACCATCTCCACCGATCTTCTGGACGTCATCCACGAGCGTGACGGCATCTCCGCTCGGGCTGCGTGGCTCGGCCTTGAACAACAGTTCTTGAACAATCGCAAGTCACGCGCCATGCTCCTCGATGCTAAGTTCCGCACTCTCTCCCAGGGCGCCCTCTCCATCGACGACTACTGCCGCAAGATGAAGGGCATGGCTGATGCCCTTGCCGATCTTGGCGAGCCCGTCCATGACCGTACTCGGTCTTTGAACATCTTGAGAGGCCTCAATGAGCGCTTCCGGTTCATGTCGCGATTCATCACGCCGCGCGAAGCCGTCTCCCTCGCTGCGGACGTCCGTGCCGACCTGCGCCTGGCCGAGCTCAACATGGCACCTCCATCGGCTCTCATCGTCTCTCTTCGTCCGGCCAAGCCACCGCGCCCCGGCCGGCCTCGGGTCGCAACCCGCGTCCTCAGCGAGAAATGGGGGGGCTTCTCTGCAATGGCTGTGGCGTGGCGGCGTCGTCGTGGCGGCGGCCGTGGCTAAGGCGGCTCGAACTGCGGCTCACCAGGTGGTTCCCAGGGGCCCTCCCTCCTCAACCCGTGGACCAGGTCCATTCACATGTGGCCGGGTCTACTCTCCGGTGGCCCTCACGGCCCCCCTCTCCGCACTGCCCGCCTCCATCGCGGCATTGCAAAGAAGACGCTCGTGGTGGCGGCGTGCCTCAACCTACTACCCTTCGGCTCTGGGACATACCAGCAGGTGCCCACCCAGCGCCTCATCCCGCTGGACGCCCCGGACCACCTCCGACGCCTCTCGCTTGGTTACCATGGGATCCTCGGTCCCTCGCCAAGCGCCTTTCAAAGACCGTCACCTCACCCCGCCACCGACCTCCTCGGACTGTGTGATCGACTCGGGTGCTTCGTCTCACATTGCCTCCAACCCTGGTATGGTTACCGTATCTCCATCCTCCTCTTTTCCTTCCTCCATTGTTGTGGGAAATGGCGCCACTCTACCGGTTATTGGCACCGGATACTCCACTCTTCCTGGCCCTTTCCGTCTCAACAATGTTCTTATAGCTCCTGACATCATTAAAAATCTTCTTTCTATTCGCCAGTTCACCACTGATAACTTTGTCTCTGTGGAGTTTGACCCTCTTGGTGTCTCTATGAAGGATCTCCGTACCAGGGACACCCTCCTTCGATGTAACAGCTCAGGGCTGCTCTACACCTTGCAGCTCCCGTCGTCGCCTTCTGACCCTTGTGCTCTTGTGGCCACTCCTTCTCCAACTACATGGCATCGTCGTCTCGGCCACCCCGGCAGGGCTGCCCTTCAGAGTCTCGCCCAATCATCTTCCATTTTCTGCAGCAAGTCTACAGATGACTCCATTGCCATGCTTGTCAGCTTGGGCGCCATGTTCGCTTGCCTTTTACTAGTTCCTTGTCTAGAGCACCTAAAAATTTCGATCTGATACATTGTGACCTGTGGACATCCCCTATTGTCAGTGTATCCGGATTTAAATATTATCTCGTTATTCTCGATGATTGCTCTCATTTTCTTTGGACTTTTCCTCTTCGATTAAAGTCCGACACTTTCTCTGTCATCTCCAATTTCTTCGCCTTTGTGCACACTCAGTTTGGTTGTACCATCAAATCCGTGCAATGTGACAACGGTTGTGAGTTTGACAACTCTGCGTCTCGTGCTTTCTTTCTTGCCAAAGGTGTTTTTCTTCGCATGTCATGCCCCTACACCTCGCAGCAAAATGGCAAAGCCGAACGCATGCTTCGCTCCACCAACAATGTCACCCGCACCCTGCTCTTCCAAGCATCCATGCCCCCTTCCTACTGGGCCGATGCACTTGCTACTGCCACCTACCTCATAAATCGCCTCCCCACCAAAACGCTGAACATGAGCACTCCATTCTTCGCACTCTATGGCACTCACCCTTCCTATCATGACCTTCGAGCTTTCGGGTGCACCTGCTATCCTAATCTCACCGCTACCACTCCTCACAAACTTGCCCCGCGCTCTTCTTTATGCGTTTTCATTGGCTACTCTCCCAATCACAAGGGATACAGGTGCCTCGACCTCGCCACAAACCGTGTCATCATCTCCCGCCACGTTGTTTTCGACGAAACAACGTTCCCTTTCTCACTTCGCCGGCCTTCACCGTCTACACACGAACTGGATTTTCTAACTGATGACGACCCTCCGTCAGTTCCTTTTCTCCCTGCAGGAACACCTGGGGTCGCTGCCACCCTGCCAGCGCCTGCCCCTCTGCGGCCCCCTCCCAGCCGGTGCCTTCAGCCACCCCGGCGCCGGGACCAGGTACGCCAGCGTCCCGGTCTCCTCCACCCGGCTTCACTGCGCCCATGGCGCCCCCTCCACCGGCGCTCGCTGAACAGGCGCCCACGGCGCCCCCTGTACAGGCGCCTCCGGCTAACTCCTTCAGCAAGCCGCCCGTCGTCCACGTCTACACCCGGCATGCCCCCGCACCCAGCTCGCCACCAACGTCCCCCGCTGGGGCTCCTCCTCGACGCTCCGGCATGATTCCCTCTCCACCACGCTACGTCAAGAGTGGTCCTCCACTGCCCACAGGAGCGGTCTCCATCCCGCCACTCGCCAACTCTCATGGCATGGCAACCCGCGGGGAGTCCGGATACAAGCAACCTCGCCTTGCTCTACACACCGAGGCTTTGTCCCCACTGCCACGGTCCTGTCGAGATGCTCTTGCTACTCCGCACTAGCGTCGGGCCATGGAAGAAGAATTCGCTGCTCTCTTGGACAACCACACTTGGGATCTCGTTCCTCGGCCTGCCAAGGCAAATGTGGTCACCGGAAAATGGATATTCAAACACAAGTTTCATGCTGATGTCTCCTTGGACAGATACAAGGCTCGTTGGGTGCTCCGTGGGTTCACACAGCGCCCCGGAGTTGATTACGATGAGACTTTCAATCCCGTCGTCAAGCCCGCTACCGTTCGCACCGTCCTCACTCTGGCTCACTCTCGGGACTGGCCGATCCATCAACTTGATGTGAAGAACACTTTCCTTCACGGGACATTGTCAGAAACGGTGTACTACTCTCAGCCCACTGGTTTTGCCGATCCGGATCTTCCCGAACACGTCTGCAGGCTCAACAAGTCCCTCTACGGTTTGAAGCAGGCACCGCGAGCATGGTACAGCCGGTTTGCTTCTTATCTGCTATCTCTGGGTTTCACTGAAGCCAAGTCCGACACCTCCCTTTTCATCCATCACCGCGGCACCGAGACAGTCTACTTGCTCCTCTACGTGGATGATATTGTTGTTACAGCCTCCTCTCAGCCACTCTTATACCGGGTGATTGATGCACTGAAGAAGGAATTTGTCATGAAGGATCTTGGTTCTCTACACCACTTTCTTGGCGTGGCAGTTCAGCGACAGAAGGACACTCTATTTCTCTCACAGTGTCAGTACACTCTGGACATTCTTGCTCGCCACGGCATGACCGACTGCAAGCCTTGTTCCACTCCTGTTGACACTTGTGCCAAAGTCTCTGCTGATGTCGGCCCCTCTGTTGCTGATCCTACAGCATATCGCAACCTTGTGGGTGCTCTCCAGTACCTAACTTTCACCTGGCCCGACATCGCATACGCCGTTCAACAAGTCCGCCTACACATGCATGATCCCCGGGAAGTTCATCTTGTTGCTGCCAAGCGGATTCTTCGCTACCTTCAGGGCACTATCAGTTTTGGTCTTGTCATTCCCCGTTCTGCCCCAACTCAGCTCATCGTCTACACCGACGCTGGCTGGGCTGGCTGCCCTGACACCCGCCGTTCCACCTCTGGCTATGTTGTCTTCCTCGGTGGCAGCCTCATCTCCTGGTCGTCCAAGCGCTAGCCCACTGTTTCATGGTCGAGCGCCGAGGCCGAATACCGTGCAGTTGCCAACGGCGTCGCTGAAGCCTCCTGGCTGCGGCAACTTCTGCAGGAGCTACACCACCCTCTGGATTCTGCCTGCCTCGTCTACTGCGACAACGTCAGCGCCGTCTACCTCTCCACCAACCCCGTTCAGCATCAGCGTACCAAGCACGTGGAAGTCGACCTTCACTTCGTCTGGGAACGGGTCGCCATTGGGGTTGTCCGTGTGCTTCATGTTCCCACCACGTCGCAGTTCGCCGATGTCTTCACTAAGGGCCTTCCTTCTGTTTTTATGGATTTTCGCTCCAGTCTGAACGTTCGTTCTAACGCGTTCCGACTGCGGGGGTGGGTGGGGGGGGGGTGGGGGGTTAGAGTATTTATTTCCTAACTGTATCCTCTATCAATTACTCTGTAGCGGCTGCCTCTTGGGTTTCTACCCAGTGTGCTGCCTAGGGACTCCCGACATGTTGCCTGGGACTTCTCCCCTCTTAACTCTCTAGCTTAGCCTCTCTCTATATATATGTAACCCTCTTGTAATCTCAACATCAAGTAATCTAAGCCTCTTTGCCTTTCTCTATCACAAAAGAGTTAGGGATCCTTTGGCATACTTAGGTTTTCCTGGATTTGTTGTGTTTACTCCTTTCTGTGGGGTTCGGTTAATCTAGGGGTCTGTTTCCTTTTCCTCTCATTTTTTTCGCCCTTAGGGACAGTGTACAGGACTGTCCTATCTATTAGTACAATGATACACAGCTCTTATACATATTTGAAAAAAAACTGAGTGTTGGTGAGATGGTTATCTGTAGTTCTGTACAATTAATGCATTGGTGGTTCTATTTTGCAGGTGCAGTTGTTGAAGCATTCGTTAGACTCCATGATAAAGGGCTTATATATCAAGGTAGAATAATTTATTATAGCTGTCCTACTACAAAAGAGTGTGTGTGTGTGTGTGTGTGTGTGTGCATGATCTTGAGCAGATATTTGTGTTGACTGTAGTATACTTTTTTTTTCAATTACTATATTTTTCTCTTTTTTGAAAACTTAAGTATTTTCATTACTTATAATACTTAAATAAAGCACATTACAAGTGCTTGGGGCAACACATTATCCATTGAATGTTTTCCTGTGCCCTTTGCACCTTACATTGATAATGCACTAGTGTATCACAGGATTACAGACAAGGACTTGGAATGGTTTGCTTGTCTTGCCTGCTTAGCGAGTTTATCAGTGACGTTGTTTGTTTCCCTCCTAATATTGATGACTGAGTGTTGCATCTCTAGAGTGATTCCTGCAAATTTCAGCAAGGATTTGTCGTGAAGACCAATGTCCCTGGTTGTGGCGCAAAGACTTATGTTGAGTAACTGCAGCCACCACCTCATTGTCAGCGAGGAATTTGATCATCTGGTAGGCTCAGTGCAGCAGCCAACTTGGCTCCCAATAACAGTGTCTGGGCTTCTGCCTCCAATGGACACAAGCCATGTGGGATGCACTAAATAGGCTATGCACAGTGAAGTGAGAGTAATATGCCAATTCTAGTTTGAGTTGATGAGGAATCTGCTGTACAGCTACAGAAGCATCACAAAACATTGTTGGCCAATGATGTACCTGTAAAGGAGCATTCTGAAGATCATATCTTGTAGATTTTTTTTTCATATTTCAACTACTATTTTTCCTTTTTTTCGAAAAGTTAAGGATTTTAATTACTTAATAGACAAAGCATAGAGATGAGGCACAAGATTCCACTTAGTGCTTGTTTGACTGCACTTCAATCCACCCCAATCCACGTGGGTTGGAATGGATTGTAATGCAGCCAAACAAGCCGTTGCTTTTTTTTTCCTTATGTTCTTCTGTTGTACTACTGTCAGGGTGTTTGAGGGCGTGCAACAAGGAGATTAGTTTGATTATTTGGATTAGGCTTATTAAGAGATTAGATTAAGTTAGGGATAAGGTCAGTTAGAGATAGGGTTGAGTCTGTTAGCATCTTGTACTATGCCTGGCTATAAATATGGCCAACACATCTCTTATTGAATCAAGCTAGGATTAAGAAGGAAAAGCTGTCTTCTTGCTTGGCCATGTGCAGAGACCCCCGACTAGCCTCTTCTCTGCCCTTAATCCCAGCCCCCACTATAACTACATTATTTCCTCAGTCATTATTTCTTCTTGTCTATATTAACATGCTCTGTACTAGAGAGCATAAATATTCTTCTATTTCTCGTGTTCAGAAGTAGGAGCTACATCCAGATTCCCTGAAATTTGCATCCTAAAATGATTTGTTACTGCATATCACTAGCATTGGTGCTTTTTACAGAAAGTGGCTTATGTGTCATGTGTGAGGTCTTACAGCTATTTTGCACTGTACAGCATCCATATCCAGTCTAAACATTGTCACATGATGGTCATATTTGTTGACTGAAAGTTCAGAGCAACTATCTCCACCAAATGGAAACTGAATGGAAAGAAGGAACCATTTGTTCCTTGCAACGTAATAAACATGCATTAATCTGATAAAAGACATGCTATTGGCAGTTTGTACTGTACCTGCATTATCTTAAGTGTCACCTGTGGTCCCTTATTTTATGCTTGGGTGTCATGTTGAGGATGGTCATGCTTAGTATTTCTATTCTTCTTTTGGCAAGCAAGGCTCTTGTTGGATAGAAATTTGGGAATGCTTATTCTTTTGATTTGAATCCTGTGATTTTATCTTGAGCGGTGCACTAGTTTTACCTTAATCACTTATATAAATATTGATTAATATATTTATGTTGTTTTTCATTCACAGGATCTTATTTGGTCAACTGGTCTCCTAACCTGCAAACTGCAGTATCTGATTTAGTATGTGAAAATGTTTGCCTTCTTTTCAATTAGTTAAACATATACCTGTGATATTTAGCGCAAACTCAAACAAAAGGAAATTCGATAACAGTACACAGAAGGCTGCAAAGCCTCAGCACATCATCATGGTTCTGCATGTGGAAACTCAAGATTTGATTCTGACATGGTTTTTTCTAATCAGGAAGTAGAATACTCTGAAGAACCTGGAAATTTGTACTTCATCAAGTACCGTGTTGCTGGTGGAACCAGGTACTTTTCACTATACCGTCTATATTGCATTGAGACATTTCATTATTTGATTGTCAATGGACATTTCATTATTGAGTTCGTTTGCCACCAGATTCTTGTTTCAATCATGTAATATTCAAATTTTGATTTTCTGGAGAATGACTTTGCATGTTGTACAATTAACCTTTTATATCTTGTAATATGAGAAATCAAGCGACATTATTGACACTGTATATTGATGAAAATTGCTTACAAATATTTCGTTTATACTTGGCGCAGGGATGATTTTATGACTATTGCGACCACAAGACCAGAAACTCTATTTGGTGATGTTGCAATTGCTGTTAACCCAGAGGTATGAGTTCTCCAGTGTTGTGCAGTAACATTTTCTTACATTCTGTTATAACTATGTCAAGTTATTTATTTCTCAAACAGCTAGTTTAGTAGAAATCTTACCTCTAGTATGTCAATTGGCAATACAGGATAAACGTTATGCCCAATATGTTGGCAAATTGGCTATTGTACCGTTGACATGTGGGAGACATGTCCCTATTATTGCTGACCGGGTAAGCACGAAATTGAATGTCCTTTATGTTTGAAGCAATTTCACAAAGGGCATCGCAACATGAATCAAATATAGCAACACAAGATGCCAAAAACAACTCATTAACATGGTTCCATTGTTCTCTTATTTTATGCATTGCTGTTATTTGAAGTCAAGAAAGTGCTACTAGTGCTTTCTACTTCACTGGTTCTGTAGCTAAGTTTTGACTTATGCTGAAATACCGAATTGCTGATCATTCCATTCCTGGTTTGGATGAAGTCTGCAACTCTGCATGAAGTCTTTGCCTCTTTGTTTGGTCTGCTCGTTTGCATGCTTTATATAAATGCTTCATCCTTATATGTTCTTGTTTAGTAATCTGCATGCTTTGTATAGTTCATGGCTTCATGCTTATGTACTATCATTTGTGTTGGAGTTCTGAATGCCCAATTCCAATGTTATGTTGGGAAATCCAGTCAAATAGATCTAGAGATAGAAAAGAGTGCTTAATGGAGGTACTGTGGCCTTCCTCGGGTATTAAGAGATAAATAATTTCTTTAGAAGTGCCCTTTCTTGTCTTCTATGAGTTGCATGATTCCTGTTAAATGTAACTACTGATTCTATGATTTACAGTATGTTGATCCAGAATTTGGGACTGGGGTGCTGAAGATTAGCCCTGGACATGATCATAATGATTATCATATTGCTCGAAAGCTTGGGCTGCCAATTCTTAATGTTATGAACAAAGATGGTACGCTAAATGATGTTGCTGGAATATACAGGTATGTATTAATCTCTCTCCAAACTACGGTGAACAGAACTATAGTTCTCTTATCTGTGATTTTTTTTGTTAGTTCGCGATTTTTCTGTGCAATTTCCTCTTTATATTCATTCCGCGTCATTTACAAAGACACTGAATTTTGGCTACTTATAGACCCATATATGTTTTTTTTAAGACCATATATGCTTCTCTGTCATATAGTTTTAATACACCTATTTAATGGCACTGAAACAACTAAATAAGGACCTGCTTAACATAACCTACAGGACTTTGTATTCTAGAAAGTTTGAGAGAGTGAGGCACCCTATTTGTGGCTTTGACCTTTTGTACAAAAGCTGTAATTAGTTCATTCTGATGCATGTGGAAAAGGAAGTGCTATATTTTTGCAGAAATCCTTTCTATGGATTTGCGTGCCACATGTTTCTGGTACTAACTTTCTTTCTTCTCCTTTTTTCAGTGGTATGGATCGATTTGAGGCCCGAGAAAAGTTGTGGTCTGACCTTGTTGAGACTAACTTGGCAGTAAAGAAAGAACCTTATACACTTCGAGTCCCTAGGTCTCAACGGGGTGGTGAAGTGTGATCCCTTTCCTGTTCTTAGTGATATTTTTTGTTGTTGATATTTTCCATAGGGTTTGATAGACCTACTTCTGTTTGATCCTAGGTAATTGAGCCTTTGATTAGTAAGCAATGGTTTGTTACGATGGAGCCATTGGCTGAAAAGGCTCTCCATGCTGTTGAAAATGGGCAATTAACCATTCTTCCAGAGAGATTTGAGAAGGTACTGCATGAATGCGCTTTACTCTTTAGAGAGAGGGAGAGGGTTATCTGCTTGTATGATTATGAACTTGCAAAATCAGGGCTGTTGAATGTATTTTTACAGAAACTATTGCCCTTTGCTTTTTTGGTGTGCTTCTTCTGCAGATATATAATCATTGGCTAACAAACATAAAGGATTGGTGTATAAGTAGACAATTGTGGTGGGGTCATCGTATACCAGTTTGGTATATTGTTGGAAAGAAATGTGAAGAAGACTATATTGTTGCTAGAACCGAAGAGGAGGCACTTGCAAAAGCTCAGGAAAAATATGGAAAATCAGTTGAAATATATCAAGACCCTGATGTTCTTGATACTTGGTTCTCAAGGTCTGTCTTCCTCTGCGAAATTTGTGGTCCCAATTATTTTTCTGTGTTATGTATTAGTTTATTGCCTGATTACATTTTTTATTTGTATTTTTTTTGGTTGGTGGGGGGGGGGTGCAAGAATTTTTACTTTGATTGGGAAAGTTGTTTGAATTCACTAAATAAAACTAGAAGTTCTATTTTTGGGACTAAGCATCAGCTTTATAAACACATTTCTTGTAAATGTTTAAAGATTTGTTTTGGGTTTTCCTTGAATAACAGTAAATGTTTCATGACCTGCATATTTTGAACTACTTGCACTGTTGAGTACGCCTTTTCTCCTTTCTCTGCAGTATGTAAATGATCGACATGGAGCTTATCTGTATGATTACTGATCTAAAAGGTGGGAGCCTCACCTGCAAGATGCTAAGTTCGTTTAGCCCCTCCTTGTATCAGGGCTGTCAACAAACCCAGCTCGATTGAGCCCAGGGTCGCAGGGTGAAAGGTCCTAATGGCTAGAGGGGTGTGAATAGACTATTTAAAATTTCTACAACAACACTTAACAAACCGGTTAGACAATTATGAGGTGAAGCAAGTGTTGCGCGAGCCTACTAAAAATGTAAGTCACATACCACAATTCTAGTTTCTATAGTTTCTATCCACACGATGGCTATGTCACTACACTAAGTTAGTGTACTCTCAAAGACTAACTAAAGAGCCACACTAACCAAACTAACAAGCTCTCACAACTAGCTACACTAAAGAGCTTGATAACTAGTTTGCGGTAATGTAAAGAGAGAGTAAGATGGTTATACCGCCGTGTCGAGGAATGAACCAATCAATCACAAGAATCAATATCAATGAAGACCAATCATCTCGGAATCAAATGATGACACAATGATTTTTTACCGAGGTTCACTTGCTTGCCGGCAAGCTAGTCCTCGTTGTGGCGATTCACTCACTTGGAGGTTCACGCGCTAATTGGCATCATACGCCAAACCCTCAATAGGGTGCCGCACAACCAACACAAGATGAGGATCACACAAGCCACGACCAATCCACTAGAGTACCTTTTGGCTCTCCGCCGGGGTAAGGTCAAGAACCCCTTACAATCACCACGATTGGAGCCGGAGACAATCACCAACCTCCGCTCGACGATCCTCGCTGCTCCAAGCCGTCTAGGTGGCTGCAACCACCAAGAGTAACAAGCGAATCCTACAGCGAAACACGAACACCAAGTGCCTCTAGATGCAAACACTCAAGCAATGCACTTTGATTCACTCCCAATTTCACAAAGATGATGAATCAATGATGGGAGATAAGTGGGAGGGCTTTGGCTAAGCTCACAAGGTTGCTATGTTAATGCGAATGGCCAAGAGGGTGAGCTAGAGCTGGCCATAGGGCTTCAATAGAAGCCCCACGAAATAGAGCCGTTGAACCCCTTCACTAGGCACTACTCGGGGTGACCGGACGCTCCGGTCAGATCGACCGGATGCACCCTGCCAGCGTCCGGTCAACGGATGGCTGCCACGTCATCCCTCTCTTCAAATACTGAGCGCCTGATCCCAACGGTCAAGTGATGACCGGACGCAGCACAGTGCCACGACCGGACGCAGGACCCGAGCGTCCGGTCACTTCCAGTAAGGTTCTAGCTGCGACCGGACGCGTCAGTTAGATCATGACCGGACGCAGGACCCCAGCGTCCGGTCATTTCCAGTAAGCCTCCACTTGCGACCGGACGCGTCTGATCAAGCCCGACCGGACTCACCCAGCATCCGGTCACACACTGTCTCCTCTGTGCACTGCCACGTTAGCAGGATCGGACGCACTCATCCAGCGTCCGGTCACAAAGTGAAATCCTGTCTTTTCTGTATAGGGCGCCGGTGGCACCGTCGGACTGTCCGACACTCCGCCGGTGAAGTTTCTTACCCTCGCTCAAATGTGTCAACCACCAAGTGTATCACCTTGTGCACATGTGTGTTAGCATATTTTCACAAACATTTTCAAGGGTGTTAGCACTCCACTAGATCCTAAATGCATATGCAATGAGTTAGAGCATCTAGTGGCACTTTGATAACCATATTTCGATATGAGTTTCACCCCTCTTAATAGTACGGCTATCGATCCTAAATGTGATCACACTCACTAAGTGTCTCGATCACCAAAACAAAAATGGCTCCTACCACTTATAACTTTGCCTTGAGTCTTTTGTTTTTCTCTTTCTTCTTTTCAAGTCCAAGCACTTGATTATCACCATGGCATCGCCATCATCATGTCATGATCTTCATTTGCTTCACCACTTGGAATGTGCTACCTATCTCATGATCACTTGATAAACTAGGTTGGCACTTAGAGTTTCATCAATTCACCAAAACCAAACTAAAGCTTTCACAGGGTCGAGCTCATCACACTATGTAGTCAAGCTCGAGCACGCCTGTAGTGGCTGGGCTTATAGTCCAGCTTGAGCTCGGCTTGAACAAAGGTCAAGCTCGGTTCACTGAAGCTGCGCAGAAGAGGAGTGAGGAGTTCTCAAAGGAATCATTAGAGCTTGAAAAAGACAACAATCAAAATTCAAGATCTGCTCCAATGTACAAATCGAGAAGAAAGGAGCAAGAGGAGAAGAAAATAGTCATGAGTCATGATGATTCTAGGGAGTGTGCATGGCAGTTTGGTACATCGTCGGCAAAGGGGGAGATGACAAAGGTAACTGTCAGACAAGGAGTGGAGGAGATGAAGGGGAAGATTTGGTGCTTCCTCGCCACTCAGGCCTCGGTCGTGATGAGGTCAACATGGGGAGTGGCATCGCAAGGTTCTCTCAGACTCTTGGGATGATGGAATTTGTTGGTTTGCTTGGGTTGTAGTTGGTCCTTGGGCCAAAAGACTCTTCGGTGCATGGAAACAAGATAGGCAGGGAACAGACTAGCCAGAGAAAATGCAGGGACAAGCCTAATCGAGCTACTCATTAAAAGCTTGTCAGCCTGGTAGAAGATCGAGGTTAGCTCATTTCTTAGTTGACCTGAGCTCGAAATGTGCATTTGACGAGTCGAGTTCGAGTAGCTTGTGAGCCTCGAGCTTCTTTGACAGCCCTACTTTGTAGATTGGTACTGGCCTTGCACCTATCCCTTTTTAGAAATACTTCTTACATGAAGTACTAAAGTTCAATGTTCTTAGATGCTCTGTGCCTTTGTGGCCTGCTCCTTTTGCTGGCCACTTGAACACTGCGTTTTGCCCCCTTTTCTCTGATCTTTTGCTTTTGCTTGTATTTTGGTGGTTCACCTGCCCCTTCTTTTCTGTTGAAATATAAATCCATAGTTGGCTCCATGCCGATTTTTTTACCTGTCAAAATAAAAACTACTATAGTTTCTGTTATTTCAATAGTTGCTATTGTCCTGCAGTGCTCTGTGGCCTTTCAGCACGCTTGGTTGGCCTGATCTTTCCAAGGAGGATTATAAGCATTTTTATCCTTCAACTGTTCTGGAGACAGGGTATATTAGTTTTGGCAACAGTTTGATTTACCTTTTCTTCTTTCAGTGGATTAATACTTGTGCCAAATTTCTGTTCTTTACATTGATGCCTAACTCTTTCCTTCACAGCCATGACATTTTGTTCTTCTGGGTTGCACGAATGGTCATGATGGGAATTGAGTTTACAGGATCAGTACCATTTTCTTATGTCTATCTTCATGGTCTTATCCGGGACGCTGAGGTGAGATGAGGCACAATGAATGTTTTGTTGTTTTCAGGGGCCAATAATCAAGGCTAACCTTTTCTTGTGGTGCAAAAGCAACATGATCAAACTTCTAAATCAGTAAGATTATTAAAAAGGCATAGGTATTTTTTGGAACCATCTTAGTGACATGTTTGATTTGAGGAATGGAGTGGTCCATTGTCTTCTCACTCACTTTTTTTGTTTAGTTTGTAGAACGGAATGGATTGATCCACCACCACCTCACCTATCGCAAGCTAATAATTAGTATAACCACAAGGAATGGAGTCATTCCACCAAATTTCATGGGATGAACTCATGATACACCACCTCATGTAGGATGGGTGGTTCCTCAAACTAAATGACCCCTAAATGATATCATTACCCTATTACTAGGATCTACTATTTGCTGCGACCATTGCCTGTTTGCCACATGCTGCCCACCTCTTAGGATCCATCGAAAGGGTACAACTTTACAAGGGATGCATTTTTGTGTGGGCCTCATGTTTTTTCTACTTGTAGGCTGTAGATGCTCCATAGCAGCTGGTCACTTGTTATATCTTCATCACAGATTTCAGGTCGTAAAGCAAAAAATCTTTTACATGTTGGGGCAGAAATTCTCTTTATCTAATTTATCCTGATGAACATGTTAGATCAATTGGGTAGGCCCTTGTGAAATCTGTTTGATATGGTCCTAGCTTTAACATTCATCTGAGATGCTAAATTACAATGTGCTTCCCAGGGTCGAAAAATGTCGAAGACATTGGGGAATGTCATTGATCCCCTAGATACCATCAAAGATTACGGGACAGATGCTTTGAGATTTACACTATCTTTGGGCACTGCAGGCCAGGTTTGTTTTGCATACAGTATTTCTTATTTTGTTATTTGTTGCGCAATTAAATATGTCTGTTGTTAATACACCTTTTTTACTTCAGGACCTCAATCTCTCTACAGAAAGGTTGACATCAAATAAGGCTTTCACAAACAAGCTGTGGAACGCAGGCAAATTTTTGTTGCAGAATTTGCCTGATAAAAGTGATGTCTCCGCATGGGATGTCTTGTTAACAAATAAGGTTGCTCACTGAACTTCAAATTGCACATGATACATTCACTAAATTTGTGTTTTAGGTTTTAAACTGTTGCTAATACATTTGCATCTCTTTGTCCAGTTCGACTCAGAAGCATCACTCCAGAAACTGCCATTGCCAGAATGCTGGGTGGTAAGTCCGTTAATATGTCATATTATTTGGTCTTGTGTAATTTGTTGATGACAAGAATAAACTATAATCCAGGTTACAGGACTACATGAACTCATTGATAAGGTCAGCAGAAGCTATGACAAGTTTTTCTTTGGAGATGCTGCTAGAGAAATATATGATTTCTTCTGGGGGGATTTTGCTGATTGGTAAGATTATGGAAAACCCTATAATGAACTAGATTTCTTAGAACCATTCGATATTTATGGCTTGATCTAATAGTGTAGTACTTTTAGCTCATTGACAATGATGAGGATAGAGGGATCTGGGAAAAAGAACGTCACTTCCCTGTAAAAAAGGGAGCTTCATATTATTTCCATTGGTGTACATTTCTTATTACATGGACATGCTCCAACAAGTTTTCTGGTTCCATCGGTGCCTATTGATGAGAACTATAAAATTGTAAGCCGTACAAGTTTTGTCCTAAGTCAAACTTGTCTAACTTTGACCAAGTTTATAGAAAAATGCATGAACGTATACAATATTCAAATAAATGCACTATCAAAATATGTTTCATGGTGTATCTAATGAATCTTGTTTGGCAATGATGAGGATAGAGGGAACTAAATTTTGCTAACTTTCGTCTGCATTGCACGGTAGAAACCAGGAGCTGATAGTAATCCATGAACTAAACCTTATATGTGGTTTGATACAAGGGCCTCTGCCCATCTCTGGATTCCCTTTTCCTAGTTATTAACATCATAGTCTTGGTTATTTTTGTGCATGTAGAATCCTTTCAGTGCTTTATGCATCTCATGTTGCTGCTCTTTAGGAATGAGCAGAAAGGTTTAGCTTTTGACTAGAATAACATAAGATCTACCATGCCACTGTTCTTGAATTGTTGTTTTCTTTGATAAATCTTGGATTTCAACTACAACCAAGGGAATTAAGCTTCATTTTTTGTATACTAAGAATTCATCAATTAATTGCCATTCAGGTATATTGAAGCTAGCAAAACACGGCTTTACCACTCAAGTGACAAGTTCGCTGCTGCTACAGCCCAGGGTGTTCTGGTGTATGTGTTTGAAAACATACTGAAGTTATTGCATCCCTTCATGCCATTCGTCACTGAAGAATTATGGCAGGTATCGGCACATAACTGTTGATTATTACTTCAATAAATCTATCACGCCCCTCATCAGCATCATCAGTAGAATATTATTATTGTTCTTATTTCAGGCATTTCCATACAGAAAACAAGCACTTATGGTTACTCCCTGGCCTACCACTGGCCTTCCTAAGGATTTGAGGTCCATCAAAAGGTTCCAGAATTTGCAATCATTGGTAAAACTTTGCACTTGAGTTTTACAATCTCACTTTGAGAGATGCTACAGTTCATGGTAGCCATTTTATTTGACTGCCAATATGATGACAGATAAGAGGAATCAGAAATGTTCGAGCAGAATATTCTGTTGAGCCAGCTAAACGGATATCAGCTTCTGTTGTTGCTACTGCAGATGTCCTGGAATATGTATCGGTAAGTTTGCATGTCCATTTTGCTTGACAGTTAATTGCATGATCTTTTTGATGGTGTGTTTTTTCAAGGAGTTTGAAGCAGACGTATATTTTGATAGCAGGAGCAATGATTTTTTTTTATATACATCAATACACAAATCAATGTTGCTACAGAAAAAAAATCTGTTTAGTTCTAAGTCTGGACAAGCTCACGCTTTTGTCAGCTTCCCTGCATCTCGATAGTGTGGAAACCCTTCAAAGATGTAACTCCCTCCGTCCAGAAAAGGATGCAATAGCATAGTACCGAGTCAAACTATTTTAGCTTTGACCAAGTTTATACAAAAATATCCATATTTGTCCAATAAGTGTCACTAGGTTCATCACAGAATGTATTTTCACAGTATACCTATTTTGTGTCATATACCTCTAGTCTCACGAAAAAACCTTTAATCATTCTTTTTAATGTTCCCTTCTTTTTCATAACAACTTGGAATTTTATGCCTGCAGAAGGAGAAGCAGGTCCTAGCTTTACTTTCAAAGCTTGACGTTCAGAATGTAAATTTTACTGAATCAGCACCAGGTGCGTCCTTTGTGCGTGTTCAGACGTATCCTTTCTTGCTGCAGTTTGCCAACAACTATCTGTATCCTAAATTGGCAGGTGATGCAAACCAGTCGGTTCACATTGTTGCTGATGAGGGTTTGGAGGCCTATCTACCTTTGGCTGATATGGTTGATGTGTCTGAAGAGGTTAAGCGGCTCTCCAAGCGCCTCTCTAAGATGCAATTGGAGTATGATGCTCTTGTAGCCCGCCTCAATTCCCCCAATGTATGTGCCTAATTCTGCTTGGTTCACTGAGATATTTATACGGTTCAAGGTACATCTTTCCCCTTTTAATGATGTATACTTCTTTTGTGGTCCAGTTTGTAGAAAAGGCTCCTGAAGATATTGTTCGTGGAGTTCGTGAAAAAGCGTCCGAGGCAGACGAGAAGATCTCTCTAACTAAGAATCGTCTTGCTTTTCTGCAATCAACAATTTCCACTTAAATACAGCGATCCACGGGGATGCTACCGTGTTGCCATTTTGATCGATGATGGAACGCAGGACAAAACTGATTGTTGATAGTTTCTGGTTAAAAGGTTCTCATAGATTGACTTCCTCAAAAAGGACGTGATAGATTGCCATTGCCAAGTGCCAACGAAGTTCTGTCGTGTCCAGCAGCAACATGCATTGGCAAGGCGTATATTTCTGACTTAGCCTTTTCGGAATGCCCTTATAGTCAGATAATTTTTGCCTGGCTATAACATTTTTTTATGTTTGATTCTGAATTTTTTCTCCACCTTGCATATATTAATCCACATTGTTTTTGCCAAAATTGTACGGGTACATATTATATTATGATCCCTTCAAGATCGTTTTGTAAGATGGATGCACATTTATTATTGATAGATATGATTATATATTTTGTAAGATGAGTGCCCGTTTATATTATGATTAATAATAATAATAATATGACTGTTATTTCAGGCATTAGTCTGTTTCTACTGATGCCATTGCTGTGCGGCAGTGAGTTTGACCCGTTGTGCTTATGCCCGTCTTTTTTTGCTCAAGTGGCAACAAAGTTTGTATTGTCTTATGTTTTGTACTTTTTCAGCGAAAAAACAGTGTTATTCTCTCACAATACTTTTTAGTTTGTCTTTTCAGCAAAGCGAACAGGTATCTATGCAGAAGAATCCATGACGTAAGAAAAAGAATCCAAGACGTACGGCAAACAAGGGTATCTGGTTCATTGCGTGAAAGTGCTCCGGCACGGTTAACTGCAACGTAATAGGCTTATTAATTTTACAAGTTACCCAAACCCACAAAAAGTAAATGTCTAGAGATTTATCGTCAAACCTGCAAATAGGCATCGTCAGTTTTCAAAACCAATTGTCCTGCTATTTAATACTCCCTCATTCTAAATTATAAGATGTTTGGTTTTTCTAAATACATTGACCGTCTGGATACATTTTTAGGGCGATGTATCTAGAAAAGACAAAATGTCTTATAATTTGAAAGAGGGACTAACATCACTCAATTTTAATGCCAAACTGAAATCATCCAGTACCAAAAACCTGGGAAAACAAGCAGGCACGAAAGGATGTCGAAATGTATCATTGAAATTACAAAACACCGTGTAATTGTCAACAACAGAGACTTGTACACTCCGCGTCAATAATATACAGCAGGACAAGTACCCTCAACAGCTCAAGGCTTCCTAGCACCAACTGAACAAAGTGATCGGCTAAAACGTCGCCTATTCGACTGTATAAAGTCACCTAACGGGAAATACTGGCTTATCTACTAAAGACATTGTTCAGTGGGGTCATCTCTGCACAACTTTATATATCCGGGGCAAAGCGGGGAAAGATGAGAAGCCACCCCGATCATACTTAAAGTCTCCTGAACTAGCTCAACAGCTCCAGCAAAAAACCTGAGCAACATGCCCGGATTATGGCACACTTTATTTCAAGACAGCAATTTCGGCCCTTGCTTGGTAGTTCATCGCTCAAATTTCTAACATGCCTAGTTATAAATTTTTACAGGTCTCTCAAATGAATGCCGGTTCTGCACATTGAACACACAATAGGCATCGATCACAAAAAAGGATTTGTGAAATCAGTAGAAATGCAAAGCAATGGAAACAATGTGTTAGATCTACCTGATTAATCGTGTGTGCCTTCCTAGGAGCTGTGTCTGGATGTTCCAGTCCAAGATACTGCTCCCAAGCTCCATACATGTTTCTCTTAATAAGGTTAAATATGTCAAAAAGATATAAAGTTAAGATGCTGGCAACATAAAGATATAGACAATAAATGCTTCAGCGAACAGATATAAAAGCCTGATTGTACCTGAAATTTTACGGCTACAGTATCTGAATCTTCAAAATAGTCTGGACGACCAAGTGAAATGTATGCAAACTTCCACTGTCCAAATAACAAAGTTTGGTTACTTACAAGCAAACAGACAATGAAACCAACCAACGCTACTGTTCATGTAATTGAACAAGATCGAACCAGATTGTTCACAATATCTGCCGATTACTTCAGTAATTGTCAAAGCACAAGGTTGGACCAGACTCTGACCATCAAAAGACGGCTGGGGTTGCCGAAACTATGGTTTTCACATGCATACAATCACCAAGATAAGACCTCAATTCTTGCACTCTTGTATAATACCAATATCTCTATTCATATTTTTCATGGCAAAGAAATGATTTCTTAAGCTTGTTTCGCTAAAATGAAGACTAGCATGTACAAAAAGCAGACTTCCATTTAGCCCATTCTTAATGACGTTTCTTAAGTCTTACCGAATAGACAAATACTGGATCTTTTATAATAGTCAGCATACTGAAAAGTATAAAATATTAAAAACAATAGAAATGCTAGGCGCTAGTTACTTAGGCAGTGGGGTGACACCTAACACCTAGGAGGCAATTATTGTGGACGACTGCCAATGTGGTCCACCTTGGCTGCTATTATGCACTATGTGGGAGGTTGACACCTTAGAACGCTAGAGGGCAAATTCAGTGCTGAAAACTGGCCAGCATGCATGTTCGAACATCACTTCTTAACAAGATCAACAAGCAAGACATCAAATGGTTTAAGAACAAAACATAACAGGAAGTCAGGAACCTACACATATGGAAACATATAAAGAATTACCTTTGAGAAATCTTCATCTGGAACCTTAAACTTTTTCTGTATACGTTCTTTGATAGAAGATAGGATCTCATCCTCACGGATAACCATAAAGAAAGGCTCTCCAAAGTTCTGAACTTGCTGTGGAGAACAATGCAAATATTCAGTATACATACGCTATTAAGATCAGAATGACTGAACGTTGACAGTTACTGAATAGCAGTATTGCTCTCCCATCATGTCATATATCCTTTTTTTTTCTCGAACAACGTAGGAGAACTGTGTCATTTCATTAACATTAAGAAGAAAAATAGTACATAGGAGGGTCAAGAGTCCACTCCTAGTACAGGGGAGAGGCTCCTGGACACCACATACTCAACCAGGGCCAAGAAAACACACAGAGGCTCCTAAAGTATTTTAAAGAAAGTTGAGCAAGAATGAGCATTATAATGTCAAACGTACAGCATAACAAGGATAAAAAATAGTAACTAAAGGGCGTACCCAGTGCAGAGAGCTCCCGCTCTGTGCGGGGTCTAGGGAAGGGTGTCAGTGGCAAGCCTTACCCTCGCCTGTGCAATGTGAGGAGACCGCGACTCGAACCCGGGACCTTTCGGTCACAGGCGGTAAGACTCTACCGCTTGCACCAGGCCCGCCCTTCAGTATAGTTAGTTATTATTAAAGACACCTGTACTCAAGATGACAAATACCTAAGGGAAAATTACTAGAAATACGTGAACAAGATGAGAAAGATACTGTTAGATAGCACTTATTTTCATCATATATCCAATAAATAATACTCAGATGAAAATAGAAAGAATTAGAGCAGCGATAATAAAAAACTCAACCAACTATGACTGGCCATGTGGGTGTACAGCAACACCTCCCACGGTCCCACCAAGGTAGGATCAGTTCCTAGAACCTGCTTAACTCAGTGAACATGTATAACGTGCACACCCTGACAGAGCATAACGAAGTACAAATTTACCTAAAAGGATATTTGAAGGAACACCACTGAGGCAACAGTTGGGAAAAAAATGTAAACAAAGTCATCCAACACTACTTGAGACTAAGGGTGGTATAATGAATTAATGACCAAAAGAATTGCACCACTAGATTCTAGAACTTAAGCTGTATTCTTTTTATATATACAGATGAACATTAGCCAAGTTTCCATCATTACCGTTTGGTTTTGAGTATCTTTTGTAAAATGATATACATGAATCAAACGATCAAAGGGACCAAGGTTTTTCTCATCCTCTGGAACCTAGATAGAGAAGGCAAAAGTAGCCATTGGTAAGTAAGAGACAAATAAGAACCTTTCAAAACCAACCTAGTTGTGAAGCATGAAATAACATACCTCCTCTGCACGCAGTGTCCAGTACTGATCATTAATGTTTTCAATCTTTTCATTTGGTGCAAATACCTGCAGGAATTATTACAGGTTAAATAACAATAGCCTGTGAAGTTTGCTAGTATGCGATGCATGCGTAGTTAGCAAAATACACATATTCTTTTTGCCTGCATGCCCCTAACTAAGTACATACATAAAACATAAATGCAACATAATTAAATGCAACTTAGCACCTTGTATATCTTGTGATAAAAGACCTCAAGTAATCTTAGCTCAGCATTGGGATGAGACAACTCAACCTGATACGATACAAGACATAAGTTAACTTCACAAATGCAAAGGGCCCCATAAAAAGAGTATGTCAAATAAAAAACAAGGGATAATAAATAGATACCTTTGTTTTAATATCATTTAGCACATCACCAACAGTGCTGTTTTTTGGCAATCTTATACTGTGAACTGACACCTGATGATTTACAAAACATATTTTAGGACAAACAGACATATAAAGGTCAACAACCATGATTGAGAAAGTCCAGGAAAATAACCTCATCTTTTGTGGCATGATGATATGTAACTTTTAATGTCTTCAGCGCTTGTAATTCTGGAAGTGGTATGTCCAATACTTCATAGTACAGAATATCAGAAGTCTGATAGATGAAAAGATATGTTATTTTTCACTTCACTTGCATGGAAACCAATTGTAACATAGATCAAAATTGAGTGTAGTGACCTGGTTATAATGGATCAGCATGTCGAGTAGACGTTCAACGCCTCTGTACTTTATTGGTTGAGGCTTAGGCTGCTGCGAATAACAATTATGTGATGTAAGCCGAATTTTCGATGGGTCATCCACGCCAAGTTTTTCAGCTACTTTTTCCACGACTTGATCATATGTGAAAATCTTTGACCTATATACAAAAAAAGGGAAAAGAAAAGGTTTCATTAGCAGTACAGAATATCACAGTTTGCTAATCACAACATGTCCAAATTCTTACATCTCGAGGCAAAAATC